CCTCCTTTTTCACCCCCCCTCTCCTTTTTCACCCCCCCTTTCTCCTCTTTCACCCCCCTCTCTCACCCCCCCTTTCTCCTTTTTCACCCCCTCTCTCCTCTTTTCACCCCCTCCTTTTCACCCCCCTTTCTCCTCTTTCACCACCTCTCACCCCCCTTTCTCCTTTTTCACCTTTCTCCTCTTTCACCCCCCTCTCTCCTCTTTTCACCCCCTCAGCACTTTCACCCCCCTCTCCTCTTTCACCCCCCCCTCCTTTTTCCTCACCCCCCTTCTTTCTCTCTCACACCCACCTTTCTCCTCTTTCACTTCCCTCCTTTTCCTCACCCCTTCTTTCTCTCTCGCCCCCCCCTTTCTCCTCTTTCCGCCCCCCTCCTTTTCCTCACCCCCTTCTCTCTGCACTCTCGCTGCTTATACTTCCCTTTCTCACCCCTCCTCCCTACCTTTGCTGTGGCGTGGCTGAGGCCGAGTATTGTAGTCCGTGGGTACAGAGAGCAGCTGTCTCCTGTACCGGCCCGGGACTAACAGGAAGTGCACGCTCAGTGTGCGCGCCTGACCAGTCGGCGGTACAGGCGTTGCAGCTTATCTCTAACGAGATATCTGCAGGGCTCGGCCACGCTACAGCACAAAAACTGGCTGGGAGGCGGCTCAGCGCTTCCATCCTGTCTTTGCTCTCGAGCTGCGCCGGTAGTCGCGGTCCGCCCTCATGGACGCACCGCCCGGGCAAAGCTGCAGCCGCCTGAGGCTCTTTACAGAGCGCTCGGGCGGCTACAGCATGGGGGGGGGGGGCGGCGGGGCTGGCCATGGCACCCCCCACCCGGCTGGCACCCGGGGCGGACCGCCCCCCCCTTAGTACGCCACTGCATGGAACTTCGGCTATTCGAACGGGAGTCGAACCGCATTCGGTGGACAGAAGCCCATGAACAAGGGACATATATTGACTACATTCACGAATGGCTACGTTCGGTAATTCGAAGGGTATATCGACTAATTGAAATAGACTGGCCGCACAGCCTGATTCTCTGGAATTGTTTTGGACATGAAACCATGCATGCAGTCGGTCAAAAAGAGACTTCCAGAAATTTCCTGAAACCCTGCTCTGATCTGGGTGATTTTCTGTATATGTTGTTCACCCAGATCAGGGCTATCAGGGGATGTGACATTTATGGGGATATGTTTATAAACTTTATAAATATGTGTTTTTCTGCCTGGAGGTAATTGAGTTACATACAGTACTTTACTCAATTATCTCCCATGCAGAGGGGAGGGATTGTGTGCTGTGTGTGGGAGTGTCAGGTGTTAACTCTGTGCCCCATCAGGTCCAGGTGGGTGTTCCCTTGCATGGGGATTTGCATATTAGGCCAGCTGTGGCACCATTAAAATTGAGTCCTGCTTAACCCTCAACATGTAGCTTAGTCTCGTGATTGGAGGGGAACTGCTATACTGCTATATCACTAGCTCTTATAAGAGCTTTACAGCTATACTCTCCTGGAGGAGAGGTCTTTCCCACGTGGTCCTGGATATCAGAGGTTGGTCCAGGGTGGGAGGAAGACGGCGAGATCCCAGCTAAGCTACGGCGGTTGTGGAGTCTGCGGTGCTTGTGGTGTCCGGTGCGGTGCATATGGTCCTCAGCGTCAGCTAGGAAGCATCAACTGGTGGAGGTACCCAGTCAGGGTGCAAGGCAGTCTGTCACATTGGTGGCAACAGTGGAATGGCTTCCTAGTGAGAGGAACAGTATCCTGGAGACACCAATTATTATGGATTGATATGGAGGGATAGAGCCAGCCACCGTGCAGTGTCCCTGTCTACAGCGATATGGAACCAGCTAGTCTCTGGACAGCATTTGAAGTGGAGCAGGAGTTTCACTGGAGGCTGCAGAACCTCTTGACCCTACAGGATGAGCTGGTATCAGAGGTAAGACTATGTACCAGTTATCCCAGCAGAAGAGCTGGCACCCTCCCCTTTCCCTTTGTCCAGGGCCTGAATACCCACAGGCCAACCATGCAGAAGTGCTGGCAACAGGGAAGAGCGCAGCTGGCCTCTGCCCTCCCCCTGTCCTCATTCCAGGACCGGACGACCCTCTGACTTACTCAGCGGTAACGCTAAGGCTAAGGGGCAGAGCGCCACTGGCCTCTGCCCCCCAATTACTCACAACTCCATGCCTGGGAGCACAAGGGAGCGCCGCTGGCCTCTGCCCCCCAATTACTCACAACTCCATGCCTGGGAGCACAAGGGAGGTCAGGGGTGAAGGACACCCACTCAGCAACCTGGTACATACAGTACAGAGCTGGACACCAGAGGCCACCAGGTCAAGTAGTTGTGCATGGGTGGGCTACTCGACTAACTCAGGTGCCGACCGACAGAAGGTCAGGTACCTGGTTAGTCTTCCCTTGGGGAGGAAGAAATGTGACGAACTGAACCTCATCACGGATGCTTGGAGGGGCCTGCTGGCCAGCCTCTTGCCAAAAGACTACAGGCCAAATCAATGACTGTAAAGATCCCCTAGCTCTCCTGGCTCGGCACTTTCCATAGAACCAAAGGCTAGCTCCTTGGCGGCCGTTCGCATTGACCAAAACCACGAATAGACTTCAGGGGGACTTAGCCGCGAATGCCCTGGAACTATTTTCAGCATGAAGACTTTACGGTTCCCAGTCGGTTCCCCACCGGCACTTAGCCACGATTCTATGAAACTATTTTCTGCATGAAGACTTCGCAGTTCCCAGTCGGTCGCCAGCGGTACTTAGCCGCGATTCTATGGAACCGTTTTGGGCATGGGACCATATGTGCGGTCGGTAGAGTTGAGCAAACCCGGACTGTAAAGATTAGGTTCGTACCAAACATTACGTTTTTTGGAACACGGACCCGAACACGGACATATCACTGTATATTCGAGTTGGAGTTCGGTATTCGGCGATTTAATGGTGAGTTTTGAAAGGCTGCACGGCAGCCAATCAACAAGTGTTTGACTCGTGTGCCCTTAGAAGCCATCACAGCCATGCCTACTAATGGCATGGCTGTGATTGGCCAGTGCAGCATGTGACCCAGCCTCTATATATCAGCTGGAGTCACATAGCGCCGCACGCAGAGGTCTTATTAGTGTAGAGGATGCTGCCACTGTGAGGGACAGCTTAGGAAAAATTTTGGGTGCTAAACTGCTAAATAGTATTTTAGTGGGGTGCACTTCATATCTGAGAGTCAAATAGAAGCATCAGCACAGTTGTAAACATTCTAATTGTTTTGGTGCTAAACTGCTAAATAGTACATTTTGGGGCCTGCTCTTCATATCTGAGAGTCAAATCGAAGCGTCTAATAGTGTGCTTACAGCGCAGTGGTAAACATTCTAATTGTTTTTCTGCTAATCTGCTAAATAGTACATTTTGGGGCCTGCTCTTCATATCTGAGAGTCAAATCGAAGCGTCTAATAGTGTGCTTACAGCGCAGTGGTAAACATTCTAATTGTTTTGCTGCTAATCTGCTAAATAGTACATTTTGGGGCCTGGTCTTCATATCTGAGAGTCAAACAGAAGCGTTTTATAGTGCACTTACAGCTCACTTGTAAACATTGTAATTGTTTTGCTGCTAATCTGCTAAATAGTACATTTTGGGGCTTGCTCTTCATATCTGAGAGTCAAATCAAAGTGTCTAATAGTGTGCTTACAGTGCAGTTGTAAAAATTCTAATTTTCTGGGTGCTAATCTGCTAAATAGTACATTTTGGGGCATGCACTTCATATCTGAGAGTCAAATAGAAGCACCTTGTAGTGTGCTTACAGTTCAGTGGTAAACATTCTAATTGTTTTGCTGCTAATCTGCTAAATAGTAAATTTTGGGGCCTGCTCTTCATATCTGAGAGTCAAATAGAAGCGCCTTATAGTATGCTTACAGTGCAGTGGTAAACATTCTAATTGTTTTGCTGCTAATCTGCTAAATAGTACATTTTGGGGCCTGCTCTTCATTTCTGAGAGTCAAATAGAAGCATCTAATAGTGTGCTTACAGCGCAGTTGTAAAAATTCTAATTTTATGGGTGCTAATCTGCTAAATAGTAAATTTTGGGGCCTGCTCTTGATATCTGAGAGTCAAATAGAAGCATCAAATACTGCTGTCACATTGCAGTTTTCAAAATTAATTTTTTTTTGGGTGCTAAAAAGTACATTAGTGGGGTTCACTTCATATCTGAGAGTCAAATAGAAGCGTCAAATACTGCTGTCACATTGCAGTTTTAAAACTTAAAATTTTTTGGGTGCTAAACTGCTAAATAGTATTTTAGTGGTGTGCACTTCATATCTGAGAGTCAAATAGAAACGTCTAATAGTGTGCTTACAGCGCAGTGGTAAACATTCTTATTTTCTGGGTGCTAATCTGCTAAATAGTACATTTTGGGGCCTGCTCTTCATATCTGAGAGTCAAATCGAAGCGTCTAATAGTGTGCTTACAGCGCAGTTGTAAACATTCTAATTGTTTTGGTGCTAAACTGCTAAATAGTACATTTTGGGGCCTGCACTTCATATCTGAGAGTCAAATCGAAGCGTCTAATAGTGTGCTTACAGCGCAATGGTAAACAATCTAATTGTTTTGCTGCTAATCTGCTAAATAGTACATTTTGGGGCCTGCTCTTCATTTCTGAGAGTCAAATAGAAGCATCTAATAGTGTGCTTACAGCGCAGTTGTAAAAATTCAAATTTTATGGGTGCTAATCTGCTAAAGAGTACATTTTGGGCCTGCTCTTCATTTCTGAGAGTCAAATAGAAGCGTAACTTTGATTCGAATTTAATACATCGGTCACTTGTAATATTGTTTCACACCTACAACACTTGTTACACAGATCTAAGTGATAGAAAACAGATTGATATTCTATACACTAGAAACTACCAGATAACAAGCTGCTATTTAAACCAGTTATCAATAGCTAAGAGGTACTTAAACAATATTGTAACTCTGGGGGAGTCAAACTGAGAGGTCAGTTTATAGGGAAAACTGTTGCCTGGATACAATTCTAAAACAATTTCCATATGTCCTTTGCAGACTTTACATGCTGGAAAAAACACAGGTGCCAACTGCTGTGGCTTTCTGCAGTGTGCATACCGGCAAGGAGGGCAGGGTTGAGGAGTGGGTGGAAGATGATGTGGAGGATGATGAGGTCCTAGACCCCACATGGAATCAAGGTCATGCGAGTGACGTGTGCAGTTTGGAGGAAGAGGCGCTGGTCGCACAGAGGTACCAGCACAGCATAGGAGGGAGCAGGGTGCAAAAGCGGAGCGGCCGTCCCCTAGCGCTTGTTGGCATGTATTATCTTTAGAATTCCCACAGTTATGCAAGTAGCAGTTGAAGCGATAAAAAGAACTATAACAGATTTAGAAGTTAGGAGTCACAGTGTGGAATGGATTAGCAGGGTCTGGTGCAGGGTAACCGCACGCCCCCTGGCGTTGAGCACCAGCGTTTGTGCGGCCACATACCAGGACCTTAATGCAGCTTCAGTAAAAAGAGTACTGGATACCAGAAGCCATCACCACAATGATCTGCAACTTTGAACAGGATGTGACATTCACTGTAGCGGCTGTGTGCGTTTTCAGCGTTCTCACCCTGCTGCTGCTCGCCTGTCTGCGCTGCAGCGTAACTTTAGCCTTCCCGCCACAGGCTGCTCACTGTTTAAATTTTGGGGCCCCTGACACAGCCCAAGGTCTAGGCCCCCCGGGGCCCGCCCCCAAGTCAGTTCACATGACCTGCCCCAAGTCCGCCCACATGACCTGCCCCCAAATCCACCCACAGGGCCCATCTTAAGTCCACCCACAAGGATGAAGTGTGTGTGTACTGAATTTGTGTAGTAGATACAAAGTGCGTGAGTACAGTGGATACGCTGTTTGTAGCGGAGATACAATATTCCACAGATTATCTCCGCTTAAGATCCCAGTGAGGCTCAGGAACAAGTAATTATAAATCCACAAGGCAAGGTTTCCAGCAGGTAAAATAATCCAACAGTATCCCAACAGCAATCCCAATAACTGGACGACACACAGCATCAGGAGCAAAACTGAAAACCTTTATTCCACAGTGGCCTTATAAAGCATGCTCCCATGCAAGGGAGGGACTTTCATCAATTATTACAGTACCCAATCTGACAATAGTAACCTCCCACCCATCTCCTCCCCTCCTGACTCATAATCCAGGATACTGTACACAAATTCCCCCAGTTTCTGGATGTACCCCTAAACCTAGGGGTACCCCTTTAAATGGCACATCCCCTGGTAGCCCTGATCTGGGTGAGCAACATATCCAAAAATCACCCAGATCGGACCAGGGGTTCGGGAAATTTATGGAAGTACTAAAAAGACCGACCGCGCTGGAGAGAACAGCCGAATTGGGTTCCATGCGATGGGGCCCTGCGGTCGGTCCCAGTATAAGGGAATAAATTACATGAAAGGCTAAGGCTACAGAGATCAGGTAGGGTTCGCATGAATCCCCTCGTTCGGTTGTTTCTGTCTACCGAACGAGGGGCCGTTCGGTAGTTTGGAACCGAACGGACCGGGCTTGTGGAGGTCTCAGCGGTGTTCGCCTAGTCGAGTGTCTGATTTGAGTTCCAGACACTCGACGGCAAAACACCGCTGTTCGGGAGTTTTAAAATGGCCGCCACCACGTGTTCGTTTCCCGAATGGCGGCCACCACGCGAACAAAGACATGGTACAATGAGAAAAATGACTGGGACGTAGCAATACCAGGGTACTCTTTATATAGGAAAGATAGGGAAGGCAAGAAAGGGGGAGGGGTGGCCTTGTATGTGAAGGATAGCATAAAATCTAGCCTAATAAAAGTTAGTGAGGCAAACATAGAGTCCGTTTGGGCTACGTTAGAATTTGGTAATCACACAGTAACTCGTGTAGGTGTGATTTATAGGCCCCCTGGACAAATTGAAGAGTTAGATAATCTACTAGTTGAGGAAATAGCTAAAATGACAATGAAGGGGAAGTTATCATCATGGGTGACTTTAATCTTCCTGATGTAAATTGGAAAACAAAATTAGCTACTTGTGCCAGGAGCACACATATTCTAAACTCCCTACTGGAGTTGTCTCTAAAACAAGTTGTTGAGGAGCCAACTCGTAAAGAGGCCATACTAGATTTAGTGTTAACAAATGGAGATTTGGTATCAGATATTACTGTAGGTGAAAGTTTAGGATCCAGTGATCATCAGTCAGTGTGGTTTAATATAAGAACAGTGACTGAGTCACACCACACAAAAACAAAAGTTTTAGACTTTAGAAAAACAGACTTTTCTAAAATTAGAATATGGGTAGAGGAGTCATTATCAGACTGGAGCAATTTAAATGGAGTCCAAGAAAAATGGGATTATTTAAAAGTTGCACTATTGAAGGCAACAGAAAATTGCATTAGGCTTGTCAGTAAAAGCAAAAAATTCAAGAAACCACTGTGGTACTCCGCAGATGTGGCCAAAATAGTTAAAAACAAAAAGTTAGCATTTAGGAATTATAAAAAAACCCAGAGTGAGGGAGACAAAATGATCTATAAGATTAGGCAGAAAGAGGCTAAGCAAGTTATAAGAGCTTCCAAATCACACACAGAAGAGAAAATAGCACAGTCAGTAAAAAAGGGGGATAAAACATTTTTTAGATACATAAATGAGAAAAGAAAAGTAAAACAAGGATTAGTTAGATTAAAAACAAAAGAAGGAAGGTATGTAGAAGAGGATAAAGGTCAGGCTGACTGCCTCAATGAATATTTTTGTTCTGTATTTACAGTAGAAAATGAAGGAAAGGGACCTCAGTTGAGAAAAAGGATAAATGAGTCATTTATTACACGTGAGTTTACAGAGGAAGAGGTTCTATTTCAACTGTCAAAAGTAAAGACAAATAAGTCAATGGGACCTGATGGAATACACCCAAAGCTATTAAAAGAGCTTAGTGGTGTACTAGCAAAACCATTAACAGATTTATTTAACCAATCATTGTTAACAGGAGTAGTCCCAGAAGATTGGAAGTTAGCGAATGTTGTGCCCATTTACAAGAAAGGTAATAGGGAGGAGTCGGGCAACTATAGGCCAGTAAGCCTTACTTCAGTAGTGGGGAAAGTGATGGAAACCATGTTAAAGGATAGGATTGATGAACATCTAAAAACACATGGATTTCAAGATCAGAGACAACATGGGTTTACTTCAGGGAGATCATGCCAAACAAATCTTATTGATTTTTTTGATTGGGTAACTAAAATTATAGATCAGGGTGGTGCAGTAGACATTGCTTACCTAGATTTCAGTAAGGCTTTTGACACTGTTGCACATAGAAGGCTTATCAATAAACTGCAATCTTTAAGTTTGGATTCAAATATTGTTGAATGGGTAAGGCAGTGGCTGAGTGACAGGCAACAGAGGGTTGTAGTTAATGGAATATATTCGAAGCTTGGACTTGTCACCAGTGGGGTACCTCAGGGATCTGTACTTGGACCCATTCTCTTTAATATTTTTATTAGTGATATTGCAGAAGGTCTTGATGGTAAGGTATGTCTTTTTGCTGATGATACTAAGATATGTAACAGGGTTGATGTTCCAGGAGGGATAAGCCAAATGACAAATGATTTAGGTAAACTAGAAAAATGGTCAGAATTGTGGCAACTGACATTTAATGTGGATAAGTGCAAGATAATGCATCTTGGACGTAAAAACCCAAGGGCAGAGTACAGAATATTTGATAGAGTCCTAACCTCAACATATGAGGAAAGGGATTTAGGGGTGATTATTTCTGATGACTTAAAGGTAGGCAGACAATGTAATAGAGCAGCAGGAAATGCTAGCAGAATGCTTGGTTGTATAGGGAGAGGTATTAGCAGTAGAAAGAGGGAAGTGCTCATGCCATTGTACAGAACACTGGTGAGACCTCACTTGGAGTATTGTACACAGTACTGGAGACCGTATCTTCAGAAGGATATTGATACCTTAGAGAGGGTTCAGAGAAGGGCTACTAAACTGGTTCATGGATTGCGGGATAAAACTTACCAGGAAAGGTTAAAGGATCTTAACATGTATAGCTTGGAGGAAAGACGAGACAGGGGGGATATGATAGAAACATTTAAATATATAAAGGGAATCAACACAGTAAAGGAGGAGACTATATTTAAAAGAAGAAAAACTACCACAACAAGAGGACATAGTCTTAAATTAGAGGGACAAAGGTTTAAAAATAATATCAGGAAGTATTACTTTACTGAGAGGGTAGTGGATGCATGGAATAGCCTTCCAGCTGAAGTGGTAGAGGTTAACACAGTAAAGGAGTTTAAGCATGCGTGGGATAGGCATAAGGCTATCCTAACTATAAGATAAGACTAGGGACTAATGAAAGTATTTAGAAAATTGGGCAGACTAGATGGGCCGAATGGTTCTTATCTGCCGTCACATTCTATGTTTCTATGTTTCTATGTTTCTACTGCATAGCTTGTTAATTACCCGTTCACAACATTGTTGCAACGGGTATTTGAAGGCACACTTCACACAGGGGAGGTCTGATTGTTCGGTAGTTTCATTCCCTTAATTTATTTGAATGATTCTACCGAACAATCAGACGAATACACTTTATTTAAACACATACAAAACCAGCAGTTTACACGAATGCAGTTATACACATGTAATTTTCAGGACAGCCCAGTGCCATCTGCTACACTGCTCCCCCTTGCCCACAAGCCGGCATACACAGTCTGATCCAGCACGGATCGGCTTGGGGATGTCCGGGGGCTCACGGATCACTTTTCCAGGTCAGTTTGTCTCGACAACCCGTCAGCATTCCCGTTTTGTTTACCCGGGCAGTACTGAATATTAAAGTCAAAGGGCTGCAGCGCCAAGCTCCAGCGCAACAGCCTGGCATTGTCCCCAGCCACCTAGTTCAGCCATACCAACTAGTTGTGATCCGTGAGCAATGAAAAGGGCTGTCCATACAAATACAGCTGCAGTTTCTTTAGGGCCCACACCACAGCCAGGCATTCCTTCTCGATGGCGGCGTAGCTTAGTTCGCGGGGTAGTAACATGCGACTGATGTAAGCCACGGGATGTTCTCCGCCATCGGCCCTGGCTTGGCTCAGTACTGCCCCCAATCCAAACATAGAAGCGTCTGTGTGAACAAGAAAACGTTTAGTTGGATTGGGAGCTGCCAAGACAGGGGCATTTATCAGTGCATTTTTCAGATGTTGGAATGCCTGCTCACACTCCGGGGTCCAGGTCACCTGGCGGGGCAGATTCTTTCGGGTCAGGTCAGTGAGGGGTTTGGCCAGGGCACTATAGTTAGGGACAAATTTTCTGTAATACCCAGCGGTCCCTAGAAACGCTAAAACTTAGGTCTTAGTCCTAGGGGTGGGCCACTGGGCCACGGCCTCTACTTTGGCTGGTTCGGGCTTCTGCTTGCCGCACCCCACTCTATGTCCCAGGTATTGCACCTCGGCCATCCCTATACTGCACTTGGCCGGTTTCAATGTCAAACCAGCCTCCCTAATCCTGTCTAGGACCGCTCCTGTATGGGCCAAGTGCTCCTGCCACGTATTGCTAAAAATGGCAATATCGTCCAGGTAGGCACAGGTATAGTCCTGGAACCCATCCAGGAGTCGGTCCACCATCCTCTGGAAAGTAGCTGGGGTGTTTTTCATCCCAAATGGCATGACCTTAAACTGGTACAAACCAAATGGGGTGACAAAGGCCGACTTAGGGATGGCATCTGGGGCCAGGGGAATTTGCCAATACCCCTTACATAAGTCAATAGTAGTGAGGTATTGGCCCGTGGCCATCCTGTCTAGTAGTTCATCTATCCGTGGCATAGGATAGGCATCCGACACGGTTTTCTCGTTCAATCTCCTGTAGTCCACGCAGAAGCGAGTCGTACCATCTCGCTTTGGTACCAACACTACAGGAGAAGCCCAGGGACTATCTGAGGGCTCAATTACCCCCAGTTGGAGCATCTCATCGATCTCCTTGCGCATATTCTCCCTCACCGCTTCAGGGATGCAGTAGGGGGTCTGGCGCATGGGTAGTTGCCCTGGGGTCTCTACCCGGTGAGTGGCCAGAGGGGTGTAACCAGGTACATTAGAGAACGTGTCTCTATTCTCTTCCAATAGCTGCTGTATCTCGATACGCTCCTGTGGGCTCAGTCGGTTTCCCAGCGCAACCTCCCCTAAATCTCCAGACAACTGCCCATCTCCCAGCAGATCTGGGAGAGGTAAGCTGTCAAACTCGTCAGAGTTGGGCGCACATATGGCGGTTACCTCCTCGGAGCGCTCCTGGTAGGGCTTCATCATGTTCACATGGAGCATGCATCGCCCTCCAGTCCCTGTGCAGGGGCCGATTATATAGGTGGTGTCACATCTCTGTTGCACCACCCTATATGGTCCCTGCCAGGCGGCCTGTAGCTTGTCATGTCGGACAGGTTTTAAAATTAACACTTTCTGCCCGACCTGAAAGCTACAGTCCCTGGCTCCCCGATCATACCACTTGCGCTGGCGGATCTGCGCCGCCTGAAGGTTTTCCCTTACCGTCCTAGTCAACGCTTCCAGGCAGTCTCGTAATGCCTACACATATGGTATGATGGGAGTGCCATCTGCGCTCCGGTCCTCCTCCCAATGCTCTCTAATCAGATCTAGGGGGCCTCTGACTCTCCTCCCAAATAGCAGTTCAAACGGGGAAAACCCCGTGGACTCCTGCGGCACCTCCCGGTAAGCGAATAGGAGATGCGGCAGGAATCGCTCCCAGTCCTTGTGGGTCTCTGCGAAGGTTCGGAGCATTTGTTTCAATGTACCAACGAACCGTTCGCAGAGCCCATTAATCTGGGGGTGGTAAGGGGCACTGATAATACGCTTAATGCCACAGATCCTCCAGAGGTGTTGGGTGAATTCTGCGGTAAATTGGGTACCCTGATCCGAGATAATCTTCCTGGGTAATCCCATCTGGGAGAAGATCCGCATGAGGGCATCCGCGACCGTTTCAGCGTGGATGTTGGTCAGAGCCACTGCCTCTGGATATCTAGTGGCATAATCTACCACAGTTAAAATGTACCTTTTGCCTGACGGGTTAGCTTTCTTGAGGGGGCCTATCAAATCTACCGCTACTCTACTAAAGGGTTCCTCAATTTTGGGTAGGGGGTGTAGTTTCGCCTTCCTTCGGTCTCCCCTTTTCCCTACCCTCTGGCAGGTATCGCACGTATTGCAATACCTGCGCACTTCCTGGCTGATCCCTGACCAGAAGAAACTTTGGGTCAGTCTGTACCTAGTGCGACTGACCCCTAAATGTCCGGATTGCGGAATATCATGCGCCATCCGGAGTAACTCTGCTCGGTACCGCTGTGGCACCACTAGCTGCCTCATCACTATCGGGTCTGACCCAGCTATCTGCTTGTCTGACTCCCTGTATAGAAGCTGCTTGTCCCAGACAAATCTCTCTCCCTCCCCCCGGGTGAGTCAGTGACAACCTTGTCCCTATATACTTGCAGCATAGGGTCAGTTACTACTTCAGCTGCAAATTCATTAGGTGGGGCCCAGGAGACACATTCTAAGGAAGGGGAAGGGTCTCTTACCTGAACCTCCGGGACTGTGTTGTAGTCCTGGGTGCGGGCCTGTTGTCGGGTGACCACAGGGTGAACTTCTCCTGTGGTGGGTGTCTGGGGCTCAAAAGCAGACGTGAGCCTCCTCAGATCGTTCCCCAACAAAACCTCCGCCGGTAACTGCGGCATCAACCCCACCTCCACGTGTCCTGACCCCGCTCCTCAATGCAAATGTACCCTTGCTGTAGGTAGCCGGTACACTGCTCCCCCGGCTACCCTGACGGCTACAGTTTTACTGAGCTTAGCCTGATCCAAGACCAGGTGACTTTTTACCAGGGTAATAGTAGCTCCTTAGTCACGTAGTCGTTCAACCGCTTTACCCTCCAAGTATACAGTCTGTCTATGGTGCTGACGATTATCAGCATTGGCCTGGACTGGATCGGCTTTGTGCAATACTTCCCACTGTTCCACGGTGGTAATGGGCACTGCTGAACCATACGGTGTTGCAACTATGTCCTGGTAGCAGTGTGCTGTGGCCGCTCTTGGTGGTGGTGGTGGGCCTGGTCGGATCCAGGTGGAACGATCCCGTAGTTGTGGGCATTCTCTTTTATAATGGCCCCATTTCTGGCAGTGATGACAGGGCCCAGAGCTCGGCTGGCGAAGCCGCGGCTGTGCAGCGGGCGGTGGTGGCAGTGGTAGTTGCCTTGGTGGTGCTGGGGTGTAGTTGGTTCCCCCAAACGTTTTCCATGGGGCTTTTGGAACTGCAGGTTTTTGTTGCTTGCGTGCGTCCAGGTACTCATCTGCCCTTCTAGCAGCTTCTGTGAGGGAAGTAGGGTTTCGGTCCCTTACCCACTCCTGGACATCTGCTGTCACCCCATCATAAAATTGTTGCATTAGCAGCATTTGTATCATGTACTCCATGGACCGTGCCTTGCTAGCTTGCACCCACCCAAGCGCTGCCCGTTGTAACCTGCACGTCCATTCTGCATGCAAGTCCTTCTCCACTTTCTTTAAATCCCGGAATCTCCTCCGGTATGCCTCTGGTGTTATAGCATACCGGGCCAGTATAATCTCTTTCACTTTACTGTAATTCCTAATTTCTTCATCTGGCACAGTACGATACGCCTCTGCTGCCCTCCCAGTTAACCGTCCTGCCAAAATAGGTACCCAGTCCTCTGCGCTGATTTTATGCAGTGCACACAGTCTTTCAAAATCTTGCAGGAAAGCGTCTATATCTTCCTCTGCCTCCACATACGTTTTAAAAGCCTGATACGGTATTTTAGGCTTACCTTCCGATGGCACGTTTACTGTAGAGCTGCGTTCTGGGGTTGTTGTTGTGTGATGGGATTCCAGCATGGTTAAAATTTAGTAGGCCAAAATCTCCATGTGGCATATGTGTATGTTGTGTCAGTTGGTTAGCTACATGTAGCTAGGATACTGTCATCAGTGTACTGAGCATGTGCAGGAATGCAGGAACTGAAATTGCACTTATTTCCTTTGTCTTGGATGAGCCATGTGGTTTGACTAGATGTACAAGTCTATATTCTGCTCATTGATTGGTTAAAGGTATATGTGGGTGTAGCCATTAATGGGAGGAGTTATAGTGCTATATAAGGAATGTACACTATGTGTTGGTCTCTCAGAATGTTGGAACAGGAGTTCATCTGAGACCCGATCGGTAATGTGAATAAAGGCCTGTTACTTCCTGAAGACCTGTGTCCAATATTTCTGTGTTTGGCTTCTGCATGCTTACACTGCAACATTTCTGGTGCAATTGGGCCGGGAACCTCATCGCACGGAAGCTGGCACAGAGATTTGAGACGGTAAAATTTTACCAAACCTTCTACGCTACAATCCTGGACTTCTACTGCGTGGACCTCCTTTCGTCTCGGCGCCACTGGCCTTTTGTCCAGGAGATCATCGGCTTCTGCGCAGTGAGTCCCGGATTGTTCCGTCTATGAGTGAACCCAGGTCCAGTAATTGACAGGTGAGATTGATACCGTTAGAGCGGTAGACCCACAAGGGGTTTTATATTTGGAACCGGTTATTGGTATTGGCCCCTTCAGTAGAAGGAAGAAGTGAAAGCGCAACACTTATCTGGAAATTAGACGCTCTGTAGTCAGCCCGTCTAATATAGGTGGTTTGGGTCAGACTGAGTTGTGGTGTAAATAGCTCATGTCGGACACCGGTGTCCTGTCTTGACTAGCGTATCTAGGGTGTAAATTTTGTTCGCTAGGTCGGGGGGACCGGGAGACTAGCATACTCTGTTGTATATTATAGTTTGCTAGATTTCACCCTATCTTAACTAAGTGTGCTCTGTTGTAAATCCAGCCACTAGCTTATTGATAGTTTAATAGACTAGCTGGGTACTGTGTAAATTCTGCCCTCTAGTTCGCTATACGTGGTGTCTGGGCAGCGAAGAACTTATCGAATCTCTGGTGTATAAATAGATCGAAAGCTCTCGAGGTGCTGGCCAGTTAGAATAGTTGGGATTATTGTAAATGTTGTTAAATATATTGTAGTTGGTGAATTGGTTAACTTGTATGTCCTACTAGAAAGTTAGAGCTCTGCTGTCTAGTGGGAGTGTAAATTGTGTGTATAACTGTAAAATAGCGCACGGTACCATAACTACTGACATGTACCATAACCACTGACATTGTGTAAAATTACTAACAATTGCTGTTTTATGTTATATGTATAATACCATAACTGTTACTAACTGATCTGTGACTTTAAAACTGTATTATAACCACTTACTAACTGTACCATAACCACTGACTGTAAAGATGAGGTTACTAGAATGTGATATAGTTGGTTAGTCAAGAGTTGATTTATAGTACGGATAATTGTAGAGATGAATTTGTTGAAATGTTATGTGATCGGTTAGTTTATATGGATTAATAGCGTGGATAGTTGTATGGTTTGTATAATAGTTACATTGATGAGTGTATAGTCTTTGGTGGGTTTTTGATTTAATTTTGTGTGTGCGACGTCGTGATATTGTTGAGCATGTGAGGATCCTGTGTGTGTGTTTGGGCCTAGTGACTGCGCAATGTGTTGCTGGTGATAAGGAGATTGGTGTGACTGTTGAAACTGTGTATATTTGTACAGCTTTTTGAATCAGATGCTCTGTTGAAATAATCTTCTGATTCACAAGGCTTTGTCTTGTATGTTTAAAAAAAAAAAAAAAAAAAGTAGGGAGTAGCTTGTCCTGGTGGCCGCATGGCCTCCATGTAGCAGTCTTCACTTAAATTTAGTGCAGGGTGTACATGTGGTTGTAACTAGTAGGCTGGAATTCTATGATCAGTTTCTATAAATTGACTGTTGGAGTTAAACTGCCTTGGTCTGTGTCATATGGGAAACAATGTAGCCATATGGTGGTCAGAACTAAGGACTTAATTACAACTGCTTTGGACATCCCCTCCCCCCTGGCATCTGATTACCAACCCCCCAAACATCCTCCAGAGCCAGATTAGCCACGCCCCTATTCTTCTTCCCAAGCTAAAAACTGGTATATAGTCAGTATTTGCACTCCCCCTGCTCTACTGTCCCCGCCTACCCACATACCTATCTGTTCCTGTGTTTCAAACTCTTGTATTTCTGTACTACCCCTCCCCCTAATCAATGATCAATGGTATCAGATGGTATATTGGTTTTTTTAGTTACTGGATGGGCCCCTCCCAGCTTTGTCCAAAATGTCCCCTTTTACTAAACTACAAACTGAAATGTTTAATTTACCTTAGAACTAAAGATTTAATCAAGCCTAGCTAGCAGGGTGGACATTGATTAAAATAAGTAATAATAAAATAGGGACATAATTAATTAAAGTCTATTTGTTTCATTTGACTTTAGGGAGGCACTCTAAGCCACCTACTGGCCATCTTCGGGAGTTACATTGATAATACATTGTTTATAACAGATAGATGTAGGATTGCTTACCCTATTTTAATATATTTATTGCTATAAGGTTTTATTTTATGTATAAATATATTAAAAGTTGAGTTTTCTTATTAGACCCATAAAGATTATTTTGATACAATTACCCTCTGGTGACACCTACTGGTAGGTTTTTGGTTTAACACTTTAAACAAAAACGTTTTTTCATCCACCAAATGCTGACTAATAAAATTATCTTACTACTCCTAGACTGGAACCTATTATTGGGCAGCCTTGCCGAAGTCCCATATTAGACACTGCTTGAGTCAAATAGGTTGTATACTCCCTTTAATCCAGAGGCCCCTGAAAACTTCCGAATGATAGACTCAGCATTTGTCAGCCAGGCCCAAGGTGATAGTAAAAGGAAATTACAGAAAATTAGAGGGATTTGTAGGGATGTCCATAATACAGCTAATGGAGATTGCAAATACAGTATATATGAATAGGGAGATGGAGGAAGAGCGTAAAATGAGGAAAAAGGCAGATATGCTAGCGGTAGCTATCTTAAGTGTAGAAAGACAGGGAAGTGAATAGAGGAGACGAGAATAGGCTGAGCAAGGGACTTTAAGTAGGAATTAATGTGCGTATTGTAGAAAGGAGGGACATTGGAAGAGTGAGTGTCCACAGAGAGAGCAGTATGAAGGTGATAGACAGGAGAGAGAAGGGTACGAGGAGGTTATAGTGGTAGTTATAGAGGAAGAGGAAGTTTTAGAGGGAATGGTGGGAATAGTAGAGGAAGTGTTCAAGGAGACAGATACTATCCACCCACGCAGAGACCTAGAGAAAGAGAGGATAGAGATTTTGTGGGTCTGGCTGACACTATCATGGAAGACTATTGATACCGACTGGGCTCCATCCCACTTGGTCGAGCGAGCCTATGGTCGATGTAGCAATAGGGGGAAAGAGAAGTTCTTTCATGATCGACACAGGTGCTGAACATTCTGTGGTGACTAAGATGGTGGCTCCGCCTTCGGGGAAGACTATAAATGTGATAGGAGCTACTGGGAGAAGTGCAGCCAGACCGGTTCTTAAGAGTCGCACTTGTATTCTGGGAGGCCATGTGGTGAAGCATTAGTTCCTATATATGCCAGAGTGTCCGATTCAACTTTTAGGACGAGATCTATTATCGAAGCTTTAAGCTCAGATAACCTTTTACCTAATGGATTAACATCTCTGAAGTTTAAGGGATTACCAGGCATAATGGCGATATCGGTGCCAAGGGAAGAAGAATGACGCTTCTATTCCATATTGACAAGTGTTAACCCTAAGAGTGATGAATCCTTATTTGACATTCCAGGAGTATGGGAAGAAAATAATCCTCCAGGACTTGCTCGTAATATCCCACCAATACATATTGAGTTAAAGCTCGGGGTGTATTCTGTTAGCCTTTGTATGTTGTTCTTTTATCTACCCCAACAGCTGTAAAGGTGGCGGAAGTGACTCCTTGGATTCATCATTCTAAGGTTAAACCAGCAGCAGACTCTTGGCAAGCTACTCCAGATCCTGAGAATCCTTGCAGGACCCGGTTGAAGCGTGCAACTCAGTCGGAGTGACGAGGGGATATCGAGACATTCTAGTTAAAAGTCTACAAAGATCATCAAGTAGGTGTTTTGACGGCCATAATAAAGCCTGACCACCTGCCTACGTGTCATAGCCAGAGTATCTTGAAGGGATCTCTGTGAAGGAAAGTGAGGATCAGAAGAACAACATCCTTGCAGCCCTCACAATCGGGAAGCTGAGAGGCCATCGCACGGTCGAAGAAAAATGAGGATTTCAGGAATAATGTGTTTTATTGTGTCTTAGTATTTTTATGATTTTTCAGGAAGGTAGGAGTACAGACATACCGAATTGCGATAGTTGCATTAAGACTACTAAAACAGGTAACCAAATATCCCAAACTCTCATCTGGCACTCACAGTATGAATGTAAGGGATCTGTATCTAAATGTAGATATTTGGATATTGATTATAGTGTGTGCAAGCCAATATCAGGAGAGTCTAAATGTTTTGATCCCCATTTCCAACCCCGTACAATTTGGTTGGTAATTCGGAATAGTAACTCCCAGGGGACATTAATAAATAGGACTGTGATAAGCACCATACATTCCGCGGGTATTCTACTATTTGATGCATGTAAGGCGATTTCGGGTAGTGGAAGACTTTGGAATGTATGTGGTAATCTTAAATGGGAACGAACTTATGGGTTTAATGATAAATACTTATGTCCCAGTAAAAGATCTACTGATCCTGATTGCCCAAATAGAGACTAACTTCTGCCCCTATTGGTCATGTGTAGGTTGGGCAACCTGGGAAAAACAGTGGATCAAGATATGATTATCCAAAGGTTGCCTACCACACCATACTGTAAAACTATGTGTGTAACCCCGTTCACATGACCATTTCCAATCTGCAGTACTTTGACAGGTTTGGAGGTCTGTTTGGGTTTCAAATATATGGCACAGGAGTAGATTCAGGAACAATAATATATGTAGGTCTTGAAACTGAGACAGTGGCAACTCAAACTCATCAGGTTTCTCATTCCTTCTATGAGGAGATGAGTATTGAGGATAAAATTCCCCATAATGTTAACAACCTATTTATTGATTTGGCTGAGGGTATTGCAGGTAGTCTTAATGTAACTAATTGCTATGTGTGTGGAGGTACTAATATGGGAGACCAGTGGCCATGGGAGGCAAAGGAAATATGGTACCCTGGCTCTGAGACATATGAACAACAGATACCTTTCCAGTCTGATCATCAAGTAAGTACTAGAAGTAAATTGGAATGGTGGTTAAAAACCTCCATTATAGGTCATGTTTGTATAGCCAGGAAAGGGACAATGTATAACACGTCTGTAGGTGAGCTAACGTGCTTGGGACAAAAAGCCTATAATGTTAATACTAAAAATACTACTTGGTGGTCAGCTTCAAATGTCTCGGAACCTACTAATCCGTTTGCCAATTACACTCATTTAAAGGAGGTATGGTTTGACTTATCGGCTACATCTAGTTGGAAAGCCCCAGCAAATTTATACTGGATCTGTGGTAAGAAAACTTATTCGGAGTTACCACAAGATTGGGAAGGGGCATGTGTATTAGGTATGCCAAAGCCATCCTTCTTCTTGTTGCCAATCGAAACAGGAGAGACCTTGGGAGTTAAGGTTTACGATGTAAATCATAAAAGGGAGAGAGCATCCTTGAATATAGGTAGCTGGGAAGATAATGAGTGGCCCCCTCAACGTATTATTAATTATTATGGACCTGCTACTTGGGCAGAAAATGGCACTTATGGATATAGAACTCCGATTATATATGCTCAACCGCATTATTAGACTACGGGCGGTAGTTGAGATTATTACTAATGACACAGCTCAAGTGCTTAATCTTCTAGCTAAGCAAAATACCAAGATGTGATCAGCCATATACCAGAATAGGCTAGCCCTTGATTACTTACTAGCAGTAGAAGGAGGTGTATGCGGAAAGTTTAATCTAAGTAACTGTTGTCTGCACATAGATGATGAAGGGCAGGCAGTGGCTGAACTTACAAGCCACATGGTTAAATTTGAGCATGTACCTACTCAGGTCTGGAATGGGTATAACCTAAGTAGTTGGTTTGGAAGTTGGTATGAGCAGCTTGGAGGAATTAAGACATTAGTAGGAGGAGTAGAATTTATTATTTTTTTTTGTGCCTCCTCCTGCCCTGTCTAATTCCACTAGTGGTAAGGTCCCTACGTAGTATTATAGAGAGTACTATAGAGAGAAAGACAGCGGCTCATGTAATGGCTGTCTGGAAGATATGATCCCCTAGCCCGAAGAGAATATATTCAGGATGAAGAATGTTGAAGGAGTTTTTAAGATGCTTACAAGGTCTACTCTGGTTCAATGGCTACTTGAGAGATGTAGGTAAAACTGTGATTGGTGATGCATCTGGAATAATGTTATATCAGAGGCATCAAAAGGGGGGAATGTGATGGGATTCCAGCATGGTTAAAATTTAGTAGGCCAAAATCTCCATGTGGCATATGTGTATGTTGTGTCAGTTGGTTAGCTACATGTAGCTAGGATACTGTCATCAGTGTACTGAGCATGTGCAGGAATGCAGGAACTGAAATTGCACTTATTTCCTTTGTCTTGGATGAGCCATGTGGTTTGACTAGATGTACAAGTCTATATTCTGCTCATTGATTGGTTAAAGGTATATGTGGGTGTAGCCATTAATGGGAGGAGTTATAGTGCTATATAAGGAATGTACACTATGTGTTGGTCTCTCAGAATGTTGGAACAGGAGTTCATCTGAGACCCGATCGGTAATGTGAATAAAGGCCTGTTACTTCCTGAAGACCTGTGTCCAATATTTCTGTGTTTGGCTTCTGCATGCTTACACTGCAACAGTTGTCCGTTGCCTCAGTATGAATACCTGGACCTCTGTCATGGTCCTGGAAATAATTTCCGCTGAAGGGTGTTCTCCATAAAAAGACAGCCTAAATTGTATTAATGACATGGAGGCTCCTATTATGCTATCTCTTTCTTACTTTATTCCTCAGCAGCAAAGAGAAATATAAAACTGAAAGAGAAAAAATGTAGATATGCAATAATAATAATAACAGGTACAACCAGATCTGCCTAGTAACAGGGCAGCCAATCAGCCTAGTAGGAACAGTCCATAAATGCCTTGCTTAGTACTTCCACTTCCTCTTTCTTTGCTGCTGTCCTCAGACCAGCTAAGTATTAATTTCACTCCTGTATATTTTAATCTTGGATTGTTTTTATGGGTTTATCTACTGATATATTTAATGTATTATGTACTTGTATACTGCTTTGTGCACCCTGTATGATTTCTGTGTTTTGCTTTGATGTTTTTTGGCACCCCTTTTGGGTGTCTCTGTTTCTTCCCCTGCTTTGCACAGTCTCCCTGCCTGTGCTGTACCTTTTGTGTGCACAGACAGGGACCGCGGATCACTGGGGAAGCTGTTTTCTCGGGAGCTGCTGTGCTCCCTGACCGCCCTCCCTCCTCCCCTTGCGACCGCGGCGACCCGCTCTACCTCCGGCCGCGTGTGTTTTTTCCAGCGAGCTCCCCGGCCATTGGCGGGGGAGGAGTTTGGGGCCGCGGCATGCTCTGCACGCGGCGGCCATCTTCTTTCACACACGTGGCTGCTGGCGGATCCGGCGGTCGGCTCACTTTACCCCTGTTTTTTCTCCACAGGTTTGTGGGTTACTCAACCCCTGTTCTGTAGTTTAGGTTTTTACTCCATCATACTGTTATAACATTGTATTCTGAGACTGGTGGCCTGGCTCCCATAATATTTATTGTGGCTTAATATTTTATCTGTGTATATTTAAAGGGACATACCCCTTTTTATCCACAAGCTTATTTACCCTCCTGTCTATCATGCAGGCTAAGGTTGATGATTCTGGCTGTCCCAGCTACCCCACCATGGAAGCCTTTCAGGCCCCTTTCTCAGGTGAAGGGGGTCTCACCCCCTCTCAGGAGTTCCAGGCCCTTACTTTTTCTACTATGCAGAGGGCCCTGGCCTCAGCCATGGGGACAGTCTCATCATCGCTGTCTCACACTATCCAACAGGCCCTGACTCAGCCCCTGGCTTCTCCTATGTTGGCAAGCCCCCTGCCTGCGCTGCAACCTCAGGTCAGCCGCAAGGCATATGCCAAAACTAAGCATGTCTCCCCCGATATGACACAGGTGGTACCTGCCCTGACTGATGTGCCTATGGCCGTCCAAGATGGCGCGTTACCACGCAAGAGAGCCGCTGGCCGGGCAAAATTGGCCAGAAAGTGGAAAAGTGCGCGTGCCCATGACAATGACGGGTCTGATTCAGATCCAAGTGGGGAGACAGGTTCGGACACCCCCGACTACGCCTCTTATGAGGAAGGGGACTCCGACGCGAAGGCGGGGTCTGACGCTTCGGTGTTACCTCCGAGTGAGGAACAAGGCATATGCGATCCGCAGGGTTACCCCCTGTTCGATCCTGATGACCTTCACCACCCTCGCTCGGCGGAATGGGACCCGCCCAAGCATATAGCTAGCTATCTAGCGCTTCGTATGCGTACCCCCTTATCCAAGGAAGGGCGCAGTAAGTTACGGGCCGAATGCCCAAGGCCCTCAGTGCCTGTGCGGCGTGTAAGACGCCAGAGGTTGACCCTCTGATCTCACAGTTCCTGACAAAAACGGGCTGGAAACCCAGAAAGGGTTTGGAGTTTTCACTCCATAATTGCCAGGACAAGATTTTGGACACTCTAGGTCCCGTGACTAAGCTTTATGAGCTATTGGAGACAGCTAAAACAGGGGATACCCCCCTGGGTTTCAATGTAGCAATAGGTTGGGTCCAGAGATTGATTTGCCTACTTGGCACTGCTAACACGGCTATGTCAGCCGAACGCCGCAAGGCGATCCTGCTTAAATCGAACCTAAACTGGTTAACCTTGCGGTCAAGGAACCGGGCGCTGCCGCTAAAGGCATGCTCTTTGGTGAGTCTTTTGTTAAAGACTTGGGCTCTTTTGTGCGCACCTTCACCGCCCTAGATAAGGCCCAATCCAACCTTAAGAGAGTTTTTGGTCCAAAGGTTTTCAACAGGGCCGGGAGGTATAGGAGCAGTCCGCCCGGCCGTGGAAATCGAGGTCCCTCACGGACTCAAAGAGGTTCCTTTGCTGCCCCTCGGGCCTATCAGGACTACAAACCCGCTCCCTTCTTTCCCTCCCGCGGGAGGACATGGCAGAATCGGGGAGGACGTGGCCAACCCTCATACAGACGCCCTTACGTTGAGTACTCAAAAAGGTTTTTCTCTCCGGGCGAGTGTGGGAGGCAGGTTGGCTTTGTTTCTCGACATGTGGGGCATGATCACCACGGATGTGTGGGTGTTAAATACTATCAGAGGCGTTCGCCTGGATCTTTTGTCTCCCCCTATCCAGGTGGACTCACCTCAGGAACTGAGGTTGCCGGAAGATCAGTCCGGGCTGATTACCAAGGAGATCTCGGAACTTCTGGCCAAACGGGCAATACAAGAAGTCCCGTACGATCATCCGGGATTTCTAAGCAACCTATTCCTCATCCGCATACCTGACTATACCTATGGCAGAGGTACACTGGGACTTATTGCACTTTACGTGGCAAGGACGTCGGTGGAGGTTTACCTGTCTGCCCTTCAGTCTCTCTTCAGCACCTTGGTGCTTCCCGAAGGTGATGAAGCCGGTGGTGGCGTTCCTCAGGTCGCGGGGCGTATGCATGATTATCTACCTGGACGACATACTGATTATGTCCACGTCCCCCGATCAACTTCTACAACACCTGAGCTGGACGGTGAATCTTCTGGAGAGCTTAGGTTTTCTCATAAATTGGGAAAAGTCCATGGTGACCCCATCGCAGAAAATAGAATTTCTGGGTTTCGAAGTCGATTCGGTTGCCCAGTTTCTGTTCTTTCCAGAGACCAAGCTAAAGGCTATGAAGAAAGAAATAAGACTTACTCTACGGACCACCAGTCTCTCCGTACGACAATTGGCGAGGGTCATTGATCTACAACGTCTGAAAGGATCCCACCTTTGCTCGGGCAGTTCGTACGAAAGCGAACTATGCCTGGACAGAGACTCCAAGGAGGAACTTCGATGGTGGTTGGATCATATGGAGGCATGGAATGGTCGAGCAATCTTCGGCACCGCCCTGGACATGGTGATAGAATCGGATGCCAGCCTACATGGCTGGGGCGCTCGCTGTGGAGATGTCTCCACAGGTGGCAGATGATCCGAAATCAAATCAAAGCTACACATCAACTGTCTGGAATTGCTGGCGGGATCGTTCGCTATTCGCAGCCTGTCTATAACCCTGGGAAACTGCTGCGTCCTTCTGCGTATGGACAATGTGTCCGCGGTAAGATATATAAATCACCTAGGTGGCACGAAGTCAAAACAACTGGCGAATCTAGCGAAGGATTTCTGGCAGTTCTGCCTCCACAGCGCGGTGTCGGTCACGGCCGAACACATCCCGGGTTTGGACAACAAATGGGCGGACTGGAATTCGAGATACTTGAAAGACTCTGGAGATTGGCATCTGTTACCTTCGATCTTCCGACAGATAGATCGACTATGGGGCCCGTTACAACTGGACTTGTTCGCATTCAGACTGAACGCTCAACTACCCCAATACTTCAGTTGGAGACCGGATCCATTAGCCACGGTGGTGGACGCGTTCCTGCAGATATGGCCTCGGGGTCGTCTCTTTGCGTTTCCCCCTTTCAACCTGATCTCTCGGACGCTGGCATACTTGTCCGGACAAGAATGCACGTTGGTGGTGATAGTTCCCCTATGGCAGACTCAGCCTTGGTTTCCACGTCTTTTGGAGATGGCGGCGGAGTGCCCACGGATGATCAGGATGCGATCAGAGGTGCTTTTGGATCCGGATGGGAACTCGCACGACTTAGTGGACCAGAACCTGCTCCAGCTCACGGCTTGGTTGATTTCCAGGGACCCTGGTGTGTCTCGGACGTTCCGCAGGCTACTACAAGACTCCTGGAGAATGCCTGGGCACTGGGGACCAGAACAGCTTACAAGGCTGCATGGCGTGTGTGGTCTGGCTGGTGCGTGGGCAGACTGCTGTATCCCCTTTCTGCCCCTCTGAAGGAGGTGCTCAGTTTTCTGACCACGCGTTTTGAATCTGGTTTGGCCTATCGCACTATCAATGTTTATAGATTGGCCATTTCAGCCGGACATATAGGTATTGACGGATCACCGATTGGACAACATCTTTTTGTGTGCCGTTTGTTGAAGGGTATTCGTTACTCTAGACCTCCGAAATCCAGATATTCATCGTTTTGGGATGTTAACGTGGTGCTGGACTTCTAGGAATCATGGCTTCCTAATGAGGACCTGTCACTGAAGCAATTATCCTGGAAATTGGTTATGCTCCTGTGTCTCCTTTCATGCAAAAGGGTTTCAGATGTCAGGGCTTTGGACTGGAACGCGTTATCCTTCACCCCCGAGGGAGTGTCGTTTAACATCTCTAGGAGGACGAAGACGTCTTCTTAGTCAGTGACCTACCCTAGGTGTTCAGTCCGACCTGCTCTGTGTCCGGTAACTTGCCTACAAGTGTACTTGGATCGCACTCACCTATTGAGGTCATCGGATTTATCCCAATTGTTTATTTCATTTAAGAAACCGTTTCTCCCGATCTCCTCGACTACGTTAGCTCGTTGGATTAAGAACCTTCTATCCGCTGCAGGAATTGACACTTCAATATTTTCGGCCCATTCGGTCAGAGGCGCCATGGCGTCTAAGGCCTCCACGATGGGATGTCATATGGATGATATCCTGAAGGCAGCGGATTGGTCTAGAGAATCTACGTTCCGCGATTTTTATTTCCGCCTGATTGACCATGTTTCCTCGTTAGTTATGGCTCAGCTTTAAACTAGCATAATAGGAGCCTCCGTGTCATTAATAAAATTCCCAGATTTTACTAATAACATGACGTAAAGTCATGATTTTATTAATGACACGGAGGCGAGTATTATTCCCACCCTCCCACCCAGTGGGTATGGTTTGGGTCTATACTTATGGTTCAATCGGGTGGGGGCTCTTTTACCTCAAGGTAAGTGTTCACAGTTTTCTCTGACTTATTTGGATCTATGTACTTATGTGGTTCCGATTTGACGTTTTTTAGTCCTGCAGGCCAGATTGTCATGAAATGTTACATGCAGGTCCGGAGTTTGGATTTTACCTACCTTTTCTCTGTTTTACAGCTTGATTTCGTTAAGATGACGTCTACCTTGTTGGAGATTGTTCTTTCCTGATGTGGAAGTTTGGTGTGGGTCTTCGGTTCAGAAGGCAAAGAAGAGGAAGTGGAAGTACTAAGCAAGGCATTTATGGACTGTTCCTACTAAGCTGATTGGCTGCCCTGTTACTAGGCAGATCTGGTTGTACCTGTTATTATTATTATTGCGTATCTACATTTTTTCTCTTTCAGTTTTATATTTCTCTTTGCTGCTGAGGAATAAAGTAAGAAAGAGATAGCATAATACTCGCCTCCGTGTCATTAATAAAATCATGACTTTACGTCATGTTATTAGTAAAATCTGGGAATTGTAACTGTCTCTGGAACTCCATTTGTTCCTGTGTTTCACCCGAATCCCCCTGTTTGGGAACCGAACCGCCATCCATTCGGTACTCTGCCATGAGTTCGGTAACAAGTACCGCTTTCTTCTTGTTGCTGGCTTGAATACCCCTTGCCTCTAGGAGGTCCTTTAATGTGGAGCGTTTTAGTGTAGCAAAATCAATCTCCATCCGTACTCCATTTGTGCTTGTTCCTCTGTGAGTCTGGATCCCACCGCTGACAACCAATGTAGCGGAGATACAATATTCCACAGATTATCTCCGCTTAAGATCCCAGTGAGGCTCAGGAACAAGTAATTATAAATCCACAAGGCAAGGTTTCCAGCAGGTAAAATAATCCAACAGTATCCCAACAGCAATCCCAATAACTGGACGACACACAGCATCAGGAGCAGAACTGAAAACCTTTATTCCACAGTGGCCTTATAAAGCATGCTCCCATGCAAGGGAGGGACTTTCATCAATTATTACAGTACCCAATCTGACAATAGTAACCTCCCACCCATCTCCTCCCCTCACCCTGACTCATAATCCCCTTATACTGTACACAAATTCCCCCAGTTTCTGGAAGTACCCCTAAACCTAGGGGTACCCCTTTAAATGGCACATCCCCAGGTAGCCCTGATCTGGGTGAGCAACATATCCAAAAATCACCAAGATCGGACCAGGGGTTCGGGAAATTTATGGAAGTACTAAAAAGACCGACCGCGCTGGAGAGAACAGCCGAATTGGGTTCCATGCGATGGGGCCCTGCGGTCGGTCCCAGTATAAGGGAATAAATTACACGAAAGGCTAAGGCTACAGAGATCAGGTAGGGTTCGCATGAATCCCCTCGTTCGGTTGTTTCTGTCTACTGAACGAGGGGCCATTCGGTAGTTTGGAACCAAACAGACCAGGCTTGTGGAGGTCTCAGCGGTGTTCGCCTAGTCGAGTCTCCGAAACAGCAAAACACCGCTGTTCGGGATTTTTAAAATGGCCCCCACCACGTGTTCGTTTCCCGAATGGCGGCCACCCCGCAAACAAAGGACCTACTGCATAGCTTGTTAATTGAAGGCACACTTCACACAGTGGAGGTCTGATTGTTCGGTAGTTTCATTCCCTTAGTTTATTCGAATGATTCTACCGAACAATCAGATGAATACACTTTATTTAAACACATATAAAACCAGCAGTTTACACAAATGCAGTTATACACATGTAATTTTCAGGACAGCCCAGTGCCATCCGCTACACTGTTTATAGTGGATTCAGATTGTATGTTTGTGTAGTGGACAGAGTGTGTGTGTATATTGTATCTATTGTGTGTATAGCAGAGTGTGTGTTTGTGTACTGGATGTAGTATGTGAATAGTGAATGTAGTGTGTGTGTATAGTTAATGCAGAGTGTGTGTATCGTGGATGTAGTGTGTGTGTAGTGGATGATGTGTGTAGTGAATGTAGTGTGTGTTTGTGTAGTGGATGCTGTGTGTGTAGTGGATGATGTGTGTAGTGAATGCAGTGTGTGTTTGTGTAGTGGATGCTGTGTGTGTGTGTAGTGGATGATGTGTGTAGTGGATGCAGTTTGTGTGTTTATGTAGTGGATGATGTGTGTGTGGTTGTGTAGTGGATGCAGTTTGTGTGTTTATGTGGTGGATGATGTGTGCGTGGTTTTGTAGTGGATGATGTGTATGATTGTGTAGTGGATGCAGTAGGTGTGGTTGTTTAGTGGATGATGTGTGTGGTTGTGTAGTGGATGCAGTGTGTTTATTTGTGTAGTGGATGATGTGTGTGGTTGTGTAGTGGATGATGTGTGTGTATTTGTGTAGAGAATGATGTGTGTGGTTGTGTAGTGGATGCAGTGTGTGTATTTGTGTAGTGGATGATGTGTATGGTTGTGTAGTGGATGCAGTGTGTGTATTTGTGTAGTGTATGGTGTGTATGGTTGTGTAGTGGATGCAGTGTGTGTATTTGTGTAGTGGATGATGTGTATGGTTGTGTAGTGGGTGCAGTTTGTGTGTTTATGTAGTGGATGGAATGATGTGTGTGGTTGTGTAGTGGATGCAGTGTGTATATTTGTGTAGTGGATGATGTGTGTGGTTGTGTAGTGGATGCAGTTTGTGTGTTTATGTGGTGGATGATCTGTGTGGTTGTGTAGTGGATGCAGTGTGTGTATTTGTGTAGTGGATGCAGTGTGTGTATTTGTGTAGTGTATGGTGTGTATGGTTGTGTAGTGGATGCAGTGTGTGTATTTGTGTAGTGGATGATGTGTATGGTTGTGTAGTGGGTGCAGTTTGTGTGTTTATGTAGTGGATGGGATGATGTGTGTGGTTGTGTAGTGGATGCAGTGTGTATATTTGTGTAGTGGATGATCTGTGTGGTTGTGTAGTGGATGCAGTGTGTGTATTTGTGTAGTGGATGATGTGTGTGGTTGTGTAGTGGATGATGTGTGTGTGGTTGTGTAGTGGATGCAGTGTGTGTATTTGTGTAGTGGTTGATGTGTATGGTTGTGTAGTGGATGCAGTGTGTGTATTTGTGTAGTGGATGCTGTGTTTGTATTTGTGTAGTGGATGATGTGTATGGTTGTGTAGTGGATGCAGTGTGTGTATTTGTGTAGTGGATGATGTGTATGGTTGTGTAGTAGATGCAGTTTGTGTGTTTATGTAGTGGATGTTGTGTATGGTTGTGTAGTGGATGCAGTTTGTGTGTTTATGTAGTGGATGATGTGTGTGGTTGTGTACTGGATGCAGTGTTTATATTTGTGTAGTGGATGATGTGTGCGGTTGTGTCGTGGATGCAGTGTGTGTTTATGTGATGGATGATGTGTATGGTTGTGTAGTAGATGCAGTTTGTGTTTTTATGTAGTGGATGTTGTGTATGGTTGTGTAGTGGATGCAGTTTGTGTGTTTATGTAGTGGATGATGTGTGTGGTTGTGTACTGGATGCAGTGTTTATATTTGTGTAGTGGATGATGTGTGCGGTTGTGTCGTGGATGCAGTGTGTGTTTATGTGATGGATGATGTGTATGGTTGTGTAGTGGATACAGTTTGTGTGTTTATGTGGTGGATGATCTGTGTGGTTGTGTAGTGGATGCAGTGTGTCTATTTGTGTAGTGTGCATGTGTGGTTGTGTAGTGGATGATGTGTATGGTTGTGTAGTGGATGCAGTGTGTGTATTTGTGTAGTGGATGATGTGTGTGGTTGTGTAGTGGATGATGTGTATGGTTGTGTAGTGGATGATGTGTATGGTTGTGTAGTGGATGCAGTGTGTGTATTTGCGTAGTGGATGATGTGTGTGGTTGTGTAGTGGATGCGGTGTGTGTATTTGTGTAGTGGATGATGTGTGTGGTTGTGTAGTGGATGATGTGTATGGTTATGTGGTGGATGATGTGTGTGGTTGTGTAGTGGATGATGTGTATGGTTGTGTAGTGGATGCAGTTAGTGTGTTTATGTGGTGGATGATGTGAATGGTTGTGTAGTGGATGATGTGTATGGTTGTGTAGTGGATGATGTGTGTGGTTGTGTAGTGGATGCAGTTTGTCTGTTTGATGATGTATGTGTGTGGTGGATGTGTGACAAATGCTGCTGGGAGGTATTTTTTTATGTCGATTTTTTATAATTAAAAAAAAAAAAAAAAAAGTATTCCCCTCTCCCTGCCTCTTACCTGTAGCCAGGGAGGGGGGCCAGCAAGGAGGAGCCCAGCTCCTGCAGCCAGTGCTCTATTTATGACGCGAGCCCAGCATGCATTGCGTGCCGCGGAGCGTTGTCATGACAACCCACGGCAACGCTTTACTGCTGTGGCTCGCGAGAGTGCTGGAGGGGAATTATATAAATCAAGACACATAAATGAATTTATTTTGAATTACTTTATCTAAGCTGGACATATTATGCACACGCTATTATTGCCAAAACTGTGGAAAAAAATGTTTTTTTTCCCATTTTGTAGCATTTTTTTTATAATTAATGAGAATTTATCTATGTATATGTGACGTAAAATGAAAGCCCTGTTTGCCCTCTGAAAACAGTATATGTGTTGTTGCAATAAATGACAGAGATGCAAACTGCATTTGAACACAAACAGCAAAAAATGCAAAAATGACTTGTGTCCTTAAGGGTAAGACAAGCTTCAAAAGCTGTATCCTTAAAGGACCACTATAGTGCCAGGAAAACATACTCGTTTTCCTGGCACTATAGTGCCCTGAGGGTGCTAACACCCTCAGGGTCCCACTCCCGCCCGGCTCTGGAAGGGGGAAAGGGGGTAAAACTTACCTTTTTCCAGCGCTGGGCAGAGAGCTCTCCACCTCCGATCCTCCTCTTCTCCTCCCCGTCGGCTGAATGCTTTCCTATGGACGCTGGCATGCTCTCACTGTGAAAATCACAGTGAGAAGCACGCAAGCGCCTCTAGTGGCTGTCAATGAGACAGCCACTAGAGGGAATTGGGGAAGGCTTAACCCATTCATAAACATAGCAGTTTCTCTGAAACTGCTATGTTTATGAAAAAATGGGTTAACCCTAGCTGGACCTGGCACCCAGACCACTTCATTAAGCTGAAGTGGTCTGGGTGCCTAGAGTGGTCCTTTAAGGGGTTAAAATAAGAAAAACTACCACAACAAGGGGGCATTGTCTTAAATTAAAAGGGGCAAATGTTTAAAAATAATATCAGGAAGTATTACTTTACTGAGTGGGTAGTGGATGCATGTAATAGCCTTCCAGCTGCAGTGGTAGAGGTTAACACAGTGAGGGAGTTTAAGCATGCGTGGGATAGGCATAAGGCTATCCTAACAATAAGATAAGGCCAGGGACCTAATGAAAGTATTTAGAAAATTGGGCAGACTAGATGGGCCGAATGGTCTTTATCTGCCGTCACATTCTGTTTCTATTTTATATATAGGAGTTATTGTTGCACTTCTATTCTTTACATTCTCATTGTGAAACTGCACTAATCCAAATATCTTGGATTACGTGAATATTTTATATATATCGATTTTACAAGGCAAAAACTAACCGTTGTTTTCCTTTAATTGCTATACACACACAACCTAAAACGAAAATTTTACCACCCTCATTTTAGTTCTTGGGCTATAGTGTGTGGGGATTGGCAATAGGGGGCTGTAGTACATGAAGGGTAAATTGGAACAGTTGTGTGGGGGAATATATATTTTTTAATAAATCACGAAAATGTATTGCTAAAAGATTATATCTGGTGGTCTTCTATCTGATGCGCGCCTTTTGAAGGTGCAATCTACGATGACCGCTCCCTCGGCCGATACTTGGTTATGAAAGAAAGCTACTCTCAAGCAACCTCTCTGTAATTGGACAGTGATTAAATCAATTACAGGTTGTTGTTTGTTGTTTGCACCTCACCAACACCTGTTTGTTACATACACGGGATAAGCATCCATAATATTTATAATCCTAGGAACTAGCATTACATATTAGATCACGGTCGTATGCTTAGAAACCAATAATCCAACTTTATCCATAAAATTTAAATGATGCGGCCATTTTTCCGGAAATCACATCTCGTTCAACTATGTATTGTCTCAAATGATGCTTGTGCGCATGACGACGCTGGTCGCATTCGTGATTACTGAGCAGACATTGGTTGGTTGTCTAGGAGAAAATTGACCGAGGCGGAAACGAACGTTGAGACCACTCAGTTCAAGATTTCTACACAACGATATGATTACAGTCGTATTTATTTTGAAGGAAAAACCAATTTAATATTTTCAAGATTATCAGTAACGTAATTTTTTTTCCCCGTGTGCGCCACAGAGGCCTCGCTGCCCTTCATTTTCTATTTGGTATCGTACAGAGCGTGCACCGTTTTCACAGTATCCCATATTGCGGCTCATAAGCGTGACGTTTTTGGATCTGTTCAGGTATTGGTAATTATTCGACTTTTGTTTTAGCTATTTTACTTTTAACAGGTCCGTTTCTGTTCTCGCATCAAGGGCTTCGCCTTATGCGCGCTTATTTGTAATACCTCCTGTGACTTTTTTTTTCTTGTTTGCTTTAACTTCCAAAGGCGCTTTAAAAAGTAGGACAAAATGAAAATCTTTATCGGCAACGTGGATGACCAGACTAACCAGGATGAACTGAGCGCCTTGTTTGAAAAATACGGACCCGTACTGAGCTGCGCCGTCATGAAACAATACGCCTTCGTTCACATGCGTGGGAAGGACGGCGCTCTGAAAGCTATAGAAGAACTAAACGGACTTGAGCTTCACGGCAAGAAGATGGTGGTAGAGCTATCCAAACCCAGGCCCCAAAACACATGGAAGATATTCGTGGGCAACGTTAGCTCGGGCTGCGACATCACTGAACTGCGCAAAATGTTCGAAGCCTACGGGAGGGTGGTGGAGTGCGACGTGGTGAAAGGTAATGAGTGAGTGCAGTTGCTTCTGGACACCCTGATTAAATGTGGGAGTAGCCGCCATTCGGGCACCTTTGTAAAATGTTTCGTCTGGAAAGGCTAATGAACCCTAAGGTTTTGGAGAGGTTTGCGTCAAAGCGCAAAATGTACTTCAGCAAATGGCGGTTCGTGCCTGTTATCATGGTTTCAAAATGGCTGAGTGGTGAAGTGAATCTTGAGTGGTTTTGTATGATTGAAACGGTTTAATTAGATCTTACCACAATTTAATTTGCGTAATCATTCTGGGTTCAGTTAAAAACATTTTTTTTTTTACAATTTTTTTTTTTTTTTTTTTTTTTTTTAAATTTTATTAAAATTGTGAATCAGCCATATGGTTATGCAAAGGTTTTCACTACTGTTTTGTTTTTTTTTTTTTTTTTTTTACACTTTACAGCAGGGGTTCCCAATTAATTTGTCCCTTGGAACCCCTTGACATCATGTATCAACATTGTGGACCCCCGACAAAAATAAAAAAACTGCACAGTTTTTTGTGTGTGTATGAATCTGACACACTGATATACACATAGATACACACCTTGACACACACTGTGTATCTGTGTGTCAGGTGTGATTTTTAAAGTGTGTGTTTGTGCCGGTGTGTCAAGGTCTGTATATCTGTGTTTGTATGCGCCAGTGTCTGTATCTGACACATAGTGACACACAGATACACACTGACACACACATCTTGACTCACAAACATACACAGTGACATATACACACTTGCACCTACAGAAGCACATACAAACACACTAGCACATATACACTAACCTACACACTCAGACACACATACTCCTTTTACAGACACATACATACACTCTCAAACTCTCACTGACAAGCACACATTCACTCACACATACTCTTTGACAGACACATACAATTTTTTACATTCTACTCCACCCAGCCCCTCTACCTTTAGGAGTGCTGGCATAGAGTCCCTGTGGGGCTGCTGGGGTGCAGGCGGCAAGTGAGCCATGATCTCCCTGCTCAGCTCCCTCGCGCGCCTCTTAGTGACGTCATATTTCGGCTTCAGCATCACTGCTGTGGGCTCGAGGGAGATTACTGCTCCCTCGCCGCCCGCAGCCATTTTGTTTTATAAACTTTTGTTGGAACACCAATTAGGAAACGCTGCTTTACAGACTTATTCATGACTTATTTAAATAGTTAATTGCTCTGTAACATTTATGGCAAGCCTTTACACCAATATATTGAGCATAAGTGGTGGTTATGTAATTCGTAACAATATTTTGCGTTATGGAACTTAATATTTCTGTTTAACACATGATGATGGGCCTTCTCTTGGTGTTGTATAACAAGATGTGGTGTTTGACATATCTACCTTGTACTAAAACAGGTTTCTCTCTTTTGTCCCCTGTTCCGTGTGCTACCTTATTAGACTTTGCGTTTGTTCATATGGAGAGAGAAAGTGATGCTAGGGAGGCCATCAAGGATCTAAATGGGAAGAATATAAAAGGCAAGAGGATTAATGTGGAACTCTCTAATAAATGTCAGAAGCCTTCAAGCTCTAATGGTAGTTCTCATAGCTCACGATCACGGAGGCCACATGATCTTCATGAACCACTGACAAATCATGTTGATGTTTATGACCGCCGGAGAGCCACTGAAGCCGCCTATGCCTCATATGCACTAAGGTCACCACATGAGCGTTATATGGACACTGTTCGCTATAATTCCTATGAAAGCCATCCACGCCCTCCTTCCCCTCTTTACTATTCACGGGATAGGAGCCCTATACGAAGGTCACCCCCCAGATCATCCTACTCCGCCGCAGAGGCATCTGCTATTCTAACATCAAAGTACCGCCAGAGTTCTGCAGCATTGGCCTCTGCCTATGGTAGTCAGTCTTCACTTTCTTCAGCTTATGGAACCCATTCCTCAACGTATGGGGCAGATTTAGATGCGTATAGACCAAGGGGATCCACACTGTCGAGTTACGGCACTCACGTATCCTCTATGGCGTCGTCCTTGGGCAATCAGTCCTCATCCAGTCCTTACGCTGCACAGTCATCTTCTTCCCCTTATGCGTCGTCCGCACTAGTCAACTCATATAGGCAGCAGCCAAATTCTGCCTATGAGTCCTCAAAATTTGCTGGCCTTGGTCAACAGTCTGCATACTCGACTGTGCCCCCAATGAAGGCAGACCCACCAATGTACGAGCGCACCCGCCTTTCTCCGCCACGAAGTTCTATTACTGACAGGTATGTCTACTAGCATTTTAACAGAATTTATTACAGGAACAAACGCGAAATGTTAATGTGGGTGGTGGAGACATGTAGGTCCGTAAAAAATCTGTATACCTTCTGATTGGACATGGTCTGCTGTGTTAGTAGTGTTTTCAAGTTAAGTATTAATTATTTATATTACGAAATGTTCAAATTGTTGTCATCCAACAGACATTTTGGCAACATTATCCATGAAAGCAAAGAAATGGGATGATCAAAATTAGTATATTTTTGTTGTACATTCATGGCTAGTAGATCTAAATAAGGTTCTGGGTTTTATATTCTGTTGTAAAACATGCTGCAGTGTAAATAAATGCACACTCACATGACATCCATGAAGGATTCTGTAACCGATGGTGTACTGGTTTTGCTGTTTTTTTAACGGATTCTATAGTATAAGGAATAGTGGCGTCCTTTAATCACCCTCATATCACCGAAGTGGCCATGGTGTAAAACATTTGAAGGAAAACTGTAAACAATCTAAAAACCTCATCTTATTGAAGTTGTTATAGAGCCTCATGTTTTCCCCCTTCTGTCCTTAACGATAAGTGTTTTTACTAGTTTGAAGGCTTGAAAACCTGTTTCAAGCCCTCCTTAATTGAAGAACTTGGACTAGTACTTCCTGGCCCTCATACCCAGTCATACCGTGAAGTGTCTCACAGCTTGTCCTAGAGAATCATTGCATTCAATTATTCTCTATGACAAGAATTTGGCTGATCGCTGCAAGTGCCCTCATGCTTCTGCATGAGCAATTTTGGTTTGGATCGTTCTGATCCAAAGATGTGTGTGTGTGTGTGTGTTTTTTTTTTTTTTTTTTTTTTTTTACCCTTAAAGTGAGGCAACTGTCTCATTCAAAGTTATGCATATCCCTTTAAGCTGTACTGGCTCTGGTACTTGGTGTCTATTTTAATATCTTTTTGTCCAGCTAACAATCAAGCTTTAGTCCACTTGATTTAAAATGGTAATTATTGGCCTTTCAACACACATTTCATGTACCACACATTTGACATCTTTAGTTTTTAGGAAGAATCTTAATGATTTAAAAGTATCTGCTGTCAATATCTGAACATGTTAAAGTATTTTTATGGCTTTAGCATGGTCACATTTACATAAATGCTATTTATGGTTTTGATTGGGTTACATGCTTAGAGTTTTTTTTTTGTTTTTTCATTATTTACTTATGTTTTATAAGGCCCATTAAAGTGTTTTTTGTTTGTCTTTTTTTCCTTGTTTCGACCGCAGGATTTCTTCCGATCGGCATTATTCTGCACTATCTGATTACCGTCATTTAGCAGATTCACAGGCTATCTACCGTCGTTCCCCTCCCAAGTCTCAGGTGGACTATCGTCGATCACTGGATTCCCTTTCCGATTACACTTTTGGTGATTACTTAAGACCAGCACCACTTTCATCTAGCTACCAGCGCCGTTTGTAAAGAGTGTGATCGTCAGTTGGAAATGTGGCTTTAGGTTGTTTAATATTTTTCTCTATAATGCTAGACGGGGAAAGCAGTCTTTTTTTTTTTTTTTTTTATATATATAATCAAAACTATTTTTGTAGCATGTTACCCCCTCCCCACACACATTTATTTTATATACAGATATTTTGCAAATCGACCTCCTGGTTTATAAACAATAATTCTGGATTCTGCATTGTTCACTGAATATTTCAGAAGTGACCTGTAAGCTTTATTCCCAAATTTTTAATTTCCCCTGACCTGATGTCATTGTGACCTCAGCTGAACTCTCCAAGCGCAATTCCTCTACTGCTAGTGGAAAAATTACAAAGGTGTAGTTAATCATTAAATAATTACACTGCAGTTAAACACAGAATTATTTTTTTTTTAAATTGCCCATCTCCTAGATTAGTTTCACTACTTTGGAAAACCATATAATTAGCTATGATATGCATAATCATCACACAATATATCTGAGGCTTTAAACAAACAGTATAAGTGTATCTGACAAGAAAATTAGGAGTGTGATGAATATCTTTACTTAAGGAGCACTCTAAGCACCTAAACGACCTCAGCTTAATGAAGTAGTTTTGTTGTATCTCATGCATCTGCAGTCTCACTGCTTTATCCTCTGCCATTTACAGGAACAGTAAAGCTTCCTGAAAATAAACATTTATTCCTAACACTTTTTAGTTTTTTCCCACACCCACCTTTGACATAAACTTTAATAGTTTTTTTTTAATTCCCCTTTTTCCAGCACAGATTCAATCTCCCTTAGCATTGCTCATCTCTCTTCCTCCAACACTATCATCGTATAGGAATAGCCTCCTTTACAGTTGGTCCTATCTAATGCTTTGGGGATCAGATGGGCAGTGCATGCAACTAATTTCCCTGTAAGACTGAATTAAATCAAATTTTTATTTTTTATTTTTTTTTTCTATGGAGACTGTAGTCATGTGAACGTTGTAGGAGCAGGATACACCTCTTGTGGCTGTCAGTTGGAAAGCCACTAAAGAAGGATTTAACACTCCAATGTAAACTTTGCAGTTTCTAGAGAAATAAAAAAAATAAATAAATAATTTTACATTGCTGGGTTTAACCTACAGGAACACTATACCACAGCCACTTAATTGAGGTGACGTGTGACTTTAGTGGCTGTTTAAGAGTTAATTCACTTTGGTGCCTGTTTATGCAGCCCTAACCATTCCTCCCTTGACTGTTACTCATCCTTACCTGAAAAAATGGTTTCAGTTTCAATCAGAACTTGAAGCACAGATGTTTTATTGTAGGGCGTTAACAGAGCAGAAGATAAGAAATAATCAGTTAAACTCACTGTGCAAAAAGAGAAGCGAAATAGCCTCTAATTCAGGAAGTATGTTGGGAGACTGTGTTAGTCACAGCTAGGTGAAGTGTGACTACAGTTGCATGAAGTGATTTAACTTCTAAGTGGCAAAGAAAGCAGTGAGACTACAGGGGTGTGAGATAAAATATCTATATATTCCTCCCCCAAAAAAAAACTTCTTCCTTAAGTTAAAGTTGTTTTGCTTAGTTTCTCTTTAATATGCAGCTTTTGTATGCATCTTTATCTACTTTCAGTTAAAGATTAAAAAGAGTAAAAGTGTATTTACTTTGTTGCCAAAAGAGGCTTTGAAATATTTAATTTTACTATTCTGGTTGTTGGCATTGTGTTTACTGGAATAATAATGCTTCTTAATGAGAAAAATATTTCTTGTCTATGCACTTATTTTTATCATAACAAATAAAACTGTTTGCGTTATTTTTGTTTTTTTTTTTTTTTTTTCTTTGTTTTGGTCAGTTATAAATGTGGCAGTAGAGTGCCAATGTATTTCACAGTGTTATTACAAGGGGCTGCAGAAAAAAAAATGGCATTTTCCAGGATTTTTTTAGTTATTTTCTTATCCACTGAATTTAGCAAAAATGTGTTTTGTAAGAGGAACAATACATAATGCCCAATAACAATGATTTAATTATAATTGTTTTGCTCCAAACAGTTATATGCCGCCCCCCTCCCCCTTTAACCCCTTAAGGACACATGACATGTGTGACATGTCATGATTCCAGTTTATTCAAGAAGTTTGGTCCTTAAGGGGTTAAGGGACCCCATAGTTCTTTGTTTTAAGCGGTGATATAGACACTTATGATCGGCATATGACACAATTAAGAAACTTTGTTTAAAATATACGTTTAATACACACCATAAAATGCAAAGCAACAAAACAATACAATTATCGATTTGCTATACTATGTAGGATTTCAATTCAACAAGTCAAATCCTTTACCCTTTAGGTCAAGCATGTCAAACTCAAAGGCTAGCAAGGGCCAAATAAACAAGGATTACGTTTATGTGGGCCGCAAAAAAGAACAAACTTAAATTTTCATTGAAACGTAGGTTTTGTTTTGAAAAGTGCAGTATAAAAAGAAAGCGCATCCCCCCTCTACTAAATCCCAGCACCCCCCTACTAAACCCTAGACTTGTTTAAAAAAAAAAAAAAAATAGCCAAAAAGCAGACTCTTCTCCTATTGCCGCTGCCAGTATGCGACTCCAGAGTCCAGCCTCTAGTATACCCCCAATGGTGCCGTCCTCACCCTGTGCCAAAGTGAATCCTCCCACTATTCCTTGAAACCCTGTGAAGGTGGAGCATGTTGACATCATCTCTGCATGTGACTTGGTGTTGCTTGCCTCTGTGTATCTCCAGGTCCTCCACTGTCCAGCTGCGGCCATCGCAACACTGACAAACACACACTCACTCTCTGACAGACGGACACATTCTTGCACACACTCACATCATTTTATTTATTGTTCTCTACCTTTGGGAGCTGGTGTGGGGCCTCTCCCTGGGGTCCAGTGGGGATTTCTCTCGAGAGGTCTCCTACCTGCTCCCTCACGCGTACAGTTTAGTGGTGCCAGAATGACCTATTCCGGCATTACTACAGAGGGCGCGCGCAAGGGAGCAATGAGGAGCAGGAAGACTGAGCTCCCTCGCTGCCGCCAGCGACCTCTCCTCCCTGGCTGGGTAAATTTTAGCAGAGTAGGCACCTGCAATGTGGGGAGGGCAGGTGCCTACTCTGCCTGAGTAAGCATGTCAAACTCGCAGCTCACCAGGCCGCAAAGAGATTCATTGTGGGCTGTATGCCACGAGTTTGACATGCTTTCTTTAGGGATTAAAACTACTCCTTTCTTGCATTTACTATCTTATCAGTGATATACGGTAAACAGAGATATCAATTTCCAGTGGAGCCCAGGCTGTAGAATTAACAATGTGGTATACTACTAATTTACTGAAGTATTTGTTGATATACCAATCAAACCTGCCAAGCATATACCAATCAGTTTAACTACAATAATATATATATATATATATATATATATATATATGTGTCTGATAGCCTTTTAGTATTATCAGAAGCATATATACATGAAGCAAAAACAAAACCAGTTATGGAGGGGGGGGGAATTGTAATTGAAAACACCTTCCACCTGAAGTCAGTGGATAGTCAATACAATATTAAACAAAGATCTGCACACGGCTTTTCCAACAGCAATCACAAATTTGTAGTGATGTTACTAGCGCGAAGGATTCTGGGTGGGCATATGCAAACTAGTTCAATGAATCACATTTTTTCCTTATTCCATTTTAAACATGGATTTCTTTGAGTTTGTGTTTGCTGTATGAAAATTTAGATTTTTGTGGGAAATGCCAGTCTTATGGGTTAACAAATGTTTGTTTAATATTGTATGTAAAAAAATATATATATGATCAACCGTTTGTTTTTGATGACATTCCAATGTTTTTGGGTTGTTTTTTAATTTTTGTAAATATCGGTATCTGCCAATATTCTTGGCGATAATGAGGTGGTCTAGCGCAAGGAAACTGCGCAATCTGTCCTCTCCAAGTCTCACGATTCACGAGGCCCTGGCCATCAAAACGTTGCCGTGGATTACCACGGCAAACAAGGGTTTTGAGAGCAGCACTGAAGTAGTGCTGTCTGCCTTCTTTCTAGTGCTGTCTGCTCTGTCAATTGTGTGCTTATTGAGATCTCCTTGGGCCCCCTCTTGCCAGTTTTATCTGGTTTGGGCTTAAAAGGTAAAGCCAGGTAATTTTATTTACTCCAATATACTCCCTTCGGCAAGGGGAGGGGGAGGGGGAGGTTGATGGGTGGTGGATATGCTGATGTTAGGAGAAATATAAAGTAAAATGAGGAGTGATCATACAGAGGAGAGGGACACACACACTTGTTTTTCTGCATAATGACCAATGGGTTAACTTGGCATTGCCAGCACATAGTCCAAACTAAATGGAAACTATAGTGCCAGGAAAGCAAACTCATTTTCCTGGCACTATAGCTTCCCCCTCTGTCAAGGCCCCCTCCCCCTCGTAGTGCAAAAGGTGTTAATAACCTCTTCTGTCACTTAACTTGGTCCAGCGCCAATGTCCCTCAGTGCTGGCTCGGCTCTGGCCACGCTCCTCCCCCGCTGACGCGATTGCATTAGGATTTCCCCATAGGAGAGCATTGAATATTCAGAGAACGCTAGAAGTCCTCATGCATAGCGTCCAGCATCGTTTAGGCGAACAAAAGTCATCTAAGTACCCCGGAAGTCCCTCTAGTGGCTGTCTGGTAGAGCCTCAGCCACCAGAGGAGGAGTTAACCCTACCAGGTAATTATTGCAGTTTATAAAAACTGCAATAATTACACGTTATGGGTGATTGGAGTTTGCACCCAGACCACTTCAATGAGCTGAAGTGGTCTGGGTGCCTATAGTGTCCCTTTGAGTTGATGTCTCACATGTGTAAGAGAAATGAATAAAAAAAAAAAATGCTCCCACGCCAAATACTGTGCAAATTAAGTATTACATTCAGCAGGAATTCATCAACACTTTATCATCAATAAGGCATTTCAAATTGATGGGTAATGAATTGTTTTACCTATGCAATGCTTAGTGAATATTCCCCATGACA